TATATATACATATATACATATATACATCATTACTATCAAGGTTCATGCTACCTTGTTGTATCCGAGGGAATTTTTAAATTTAAAGAATTCATTACATCCTATAACTTTTGCCATGTTTATGGCTAAGTGATTTTGTTGTATGCACAAAATACTGTTCTATAGAAAAATTATTACCCACAGTATTGATGTCATGAAAACTTTTCAGAGAGAAAAGGTGTGTATATGGTGCAAACCCACCTGGCATGACCACCTTGTAGCAGCCCTGGCAGCGATTGCCATCCTCTCGGGAGCTACACTTGCCACACATTATCTTCCCATCATCCCGAGCGCTGAAGGCCTCACTGGCCAGTGACTTGTAGCACTTGGCACAGCGGAAACAGTCCTCATGCCAGTAGCGGTTCTTGTGGTGCAGCTCCTGAGGGGGAAAAGCAGGGGTGGGGAGGTGAGCAGAGGTGCCCTCACTAGGTCCTGATGCAGACCTCATTAAAATGGAGTTTGTTTACTCATCATGTGGACTGAGGCTCGGGGGCCGAATAGACAACAAACCTATGTGACCGGCATAAAAGTGGTAATGAAGTGAAGTAGGATGTGGTGAGCCATGAAGGAGTTAGAGGTCTGAGAGGGTGGGAATGCGCAATGAAGTATATAAGCTCCATTATTAGGAATGACACATCTTTTCACACAGTTAACTGCCTGTGACCGAGTACTGAGAGCATTTTCAAGCCAGAAGTCGGTGCTTTATAATAGCCAGACCTCAAGTTAAAGCCAGCGAGCACTCTGAACATATAGTACAAACAGTTAGGTCCACAATTATTTGGACAAGCAGCAAGGTCAAGCAAATATTGCCTTCAACGGATTTTGAGGAAGTTATTAGGAACAATCCCGTGTGTCAGGTTATTTTAGTTTGTCCACTTACTTTAAGACCCTGTGGATAAAATTGGCTGTTACACCTAAACTGTTTATAATTTAGTTAAAAGCCTCGAATTAAAGCTGACAGTCTGCACTTCAGTCATGTTTATTCAAAAGCCTCAATGACGATTTACATCTACAAAAGGCATTTTTAAATTTAGATAGCTGCCACCCAGGGTCTACTCAGCATGGCTGATGTGAAAATGGCCTATACGCAGATCAGAAGTCTCCTTTCTCTACAAATTGTCCGTGGAATCTGCGAGGAATATCTAGAAAGCTTCAGAAACCCTAATCCATTTTAGGATCTTTGCACTTAACCAAATAAATAAAAACTATTAAGTATAATAGCGTTTAGGATCTATTAATTTGTGTAAGAAATCTTTACATTGCACTCAAAGCTTAAACTATTTTCACCTTGGAGTCAGCACCAATGGGGCGTTTGCACTCTGCGCACGTATTGGCGCAGAGCTTATCAAAGCACTTGGTGCACACGTGCTTGTCGTCCTTCTTCACATACTTCTTGCCGTGCAGATTGTCACGGCAGTAGTAGCAGTCAAAGCGATCAGTCATGGTGGAGGTTAGATAACTCCTGGGACCTGTGAGGAGACGAGAGGAGATGAGTGTCACTGAATGTGTACAGAGAATCTGCTCTCCACGTTTAGGTCTGCCTACATGGCAGGATGTTTCCTTGGAGCACCAGCAGGGGGCACTGTTGCATTTCCTACAGCCATGGCATCAACGCATGAAGCATTCTGAACCCCTTATAGTTGCAGCTCAGAATGAGCATTTAAGAGCAAACAAATAAAGTTTGAAGTTGCTTATATTGACAGGTTGAATATAAGCAACAATACATTCCACCCACATATATGCATATATACATCTGACCTCTTAACCTAATAAAATAGATGCTGAATTTAGATTTAGTCTTCAGTGGAAAGATGTATATGTTTTTTCTGCTTTCCCATTGAGACACTATGACATGTGACTCTAACAGCAGCATACCAAACTGATGAGAGAAGTGTGAGTGAGGTAAAACAGCAGCCCACAGATGTCTACTTGTTGATTGCAGGTTTCCTGGCCCGTAGACTTTTTTATCAAGCTCTCCCTGGAAAGCTTATTTTTAGACTCATTCCCTTCACCCCCTCAAAGCTGTCTCCCCAGAGCCCCGGCCCACATTCGATCTTTTGTCTTGGTTTTGGTCGGATCACTTAAGATGATATTGTAAACTTTGTGTCAGAGTGGCTTTGCTACTTTATTGGTCAACATTCCTGCATTCCTGTCACAGTTGACATCCAGTGTGGACAAATAAGCTCTATCTAAATCACTTTAAAAGCTTATCTGGAAGCCAGAAAGGGTAGCTGAACAGTCTGTGAACTTTAGGAAAATTGATTTATTTGGATACACAGATATCATTTTAATCCGATGCAACAGCAGCTATGGAGGAAACAATGCAGGGTATGACAATTGTCCCAGTAACCATAGGAGCAAAGAAAACATTTATGCAGGGAGCTATTTAAGTAGGATG